TTTCACACTGGAGATGGGCCCTGCTGCCATCCCAGGGCCTGGCCCAGAGGTCATTGGAAACGCTCACTTGAAACCCTCCTGGATCTCAGTTGAAGGATGAAGCAAATTACAAAATTTCCCTCTACTGAGCTTTTAATTAGGAGAAAAGAATAAAGTTTTAATGTCATTTAGGACGTTATTTTAAAATGAGGCTGTTAATTCTGCTGTATTCTTGTGTTTCACAGCTGTCTGCTGCGGAACACTGGGCTGGATCCATCTTGGGGATACTCAGTTTGAACCACTCCCAGAACCTCCATGCAGTTTTTACTCTGACAGCTAACCCTAAAGGTAAGAAATGACTGTTGTCCAATAGTGTCTAGGGAATCAAAGTTATCCTAGGACCCAGGCACCTTCAGTTTCAGTAGTAGTTTGGCACATAATTACTCCCAGAAAAAAAATGATGTCACACAAAGAGTTTGTGGCCAACTGAATGCAGGCAGAAGCCCAAATACTGTGATCAAATCATGCACTGCAGTGAGGCCAACCTTCACCACGTCCCAGCTACCAGGTGGGTGCCATGTACTGGGGAAACTTCAAGTAGGAACAACCCCTGCAGGTGACCAGCAGAGAGGGACAAACCCAGATGGACCCACAGCCAGGTCTGAGGGCAAGCCCCAGTACTTCTGGGGCTCAGGTCTCCCCTGGAGGGGATTCAGGCCAGTCAGCAGGTCCTGGGCCCACACAGACCTCCCCAGAGCTATGTGGAGTGTCAGGGCAAGCGGAGACCTCCACATCAGATCCCCACTCCAGAGCAGAGCGGGGAGGAGGCAGGACCCTCACAGCTCTCATAACAAAAGAGAAGAACCCTCTAGAAAAGCTATTTCTGATACAGCTAACCATTTCTAAGTGAGCATAATTGAAGCCAGCCAGAAAGTACAGTTTAGGCACAAGGTGCCCAAATTTACTCCACAAGTGTCCTTGCTAAAGTAAAAAGACAATGAAGTGCATTCACATGGGTCCCTTCTATTTTCCCTTCATTGCCAAACTGGACAGAATAATGATCCTGCCTAGGACTAGAGTCAGCAGAATTAAAATTTACAGTTAGATGCAGAGGGTTAAGGTCATATTTTCACCCCTGCCTCAAGGGAAGAACCAAGCAGCAGATAAGCTCATTAGAACCTTACTGATAGAACATACATCACTAAAATGACAGTCTTTTAGGACAGCATATGTGGTTTGAGGAGCCTCCCCAGAAGGCCCAGAGCTGAAACTGAGTTCCAAAAACGACCTGGAGAAGATGCAGTAATAACAGGAAACAAAGTGCTCGACATTGGGAAGTTGCATTGTGCACAGCATACAAATCCCTTTGATTCTGCACCATCTTTCCCATGCCCTGAATCAAGAAAACAGCTCAGTGACCCTCTAAGGCAGCTCTGGCCCATCCAGTGCTGTATGAGCAGGATCTCACGTTTCAGCACTGCTCAAATGCAGGTGAATGCCTGAATATCCTCTAGGCTTTTCTCCACCTATTACAGAGAGCAAAGAGAGGTTACTACACCAGAACGTCTGTGGTCACAGTGTGAGACAGGGACAGCCAGGTGCTGCTAAAACACAGACCTGATC